TATATTAGTGGTTATAATAACTGCCTCATTCAAATAGTAAATAATATGCGTTATAATAGTTGTCTCGTTAAAATAAGAGTTTTTGAGTCCTTTTGAGGACAATAATTGCAAAAAGTATGCTTAAATCTAAAATCTAAAATTATAATCAGCATGTTAAATCAAAATCGGTTGTGTATTTTCTTGTCCTTTATCGTAAGAAACAATATTTTGTCAAGAACATTATTATATGGATAAAGACAAACTAGTCAAACAGTAAAACTGTCGTAAGTTTGAATGTTAAATAAGCGTCCTTTTCACGACCACATGTGATTTGCATATATAAGGTCAGGAAATGTAAAAAGGTATGATTAAATGCAGAACTAATGAATTAGTGTTTTATGCATGAACAGACTATATTAAATCTCTGCCATTGATTACATGTTGAGACACGTTGATCCACTTCATAGACGCCATTGTCTCTGACGTCATGTCAGCCTGTCATAGAAACCTAGAAACTCAATCACAGCAATGCGACTTTTGGTTCCACTTCGTGGAACTATGAGGTCATCGCCTCTACCCCTTCCATCCCCTCCCAATTGCCCTGAGGTCGATACACCTGTGGCGCCCTCTGAGGACGTGATGGTCAAATGCAGGGATAACTACTATCCGATATTCATAAATATCTGCTTTCTCACCAAACGTTGGTTGGGTATTTTTTAAATATTTCTGTATATCTTGAGTCATGTTGTTCCTATACTTCTTTTACTTCTGGATGAATTTAACATTTATTTCTATGCTCCTTTACTCCTGGTTGAATATTTGGTTCTTCATTTATTATCAACTTATTATGACAAAAACACCATAAGTAATTATCTCTGGAACTGCCCACAAAAGCTGACAATTAATGACCTACGATTTTCTCATATGTTTAGTGCATGATAAAACAACGAGTTTTGTCATTCCTGATTATGAACTTAACACACTTTTAATTACAAAGTCAGTAGCTAAAGAAATGTTCACACACTTTGAATTGAGTCTTATATACAGGGTTGAGAATGTTATATTTTCCAAAAATGAATTTGAATATACATAAGTCACCTGACAACCATAGCTGATATAAAGTCGCGATGGAATTGGAATACATCAGAAGTACATTTTAGCATCACTTGGCGTTTCATAGATTGTGTGATGCAACAAAAACTGACTGCTTTAGAGAAAAGTATGTAACAGCCATTTCCATCACCAAATATTCATTAAGCTCATAAAGATTTGTTAAGATCGAGGATTTAGAATTTCCAACACGGTTACATCCCTTACACTTAATGATATTGGAAAATGAAGGACTATGGGTCAACTTGGGGCATCACGACCATCTAGAAAAACACTTTCTACAAGTCGTGCCCCAGTTGTGGTAAGCAAAGTACGGCGCCTTGTAAACATAGAAGTCAGTCGTAAAAGCTGTCCACGTTCCTCGTGAAACAGAATGCAATATAATTAAAAGTTTCTCTGTCTGGAAATGAGGCCAACAGGTTATGGATCGACCAAGACAAGGATTCCATTCAATACCTAAAGCAGCTGTAGAATGAAACTGATATTCATGCTATTCAATACGAAGACATTTCAGTTATGTCGCCTATGAATTTATGGGTGAAGATAGTTGAAACAAGCGCTATGAAACTATCGTCCTCGTACAATAGATTTATTGTGGGAAGCCAGCAAGGAAGAGTGGTTTACATCTGACAAGACAGTTTTAAGACGGAGTCTTTTGTAATAGAAATAACACCTCAGGGCTACAGTCAAAATGCAGTGTCGTCAGATAGAGTAGGACTGGGCGTGGCGACATGGACTATAACGATGTAATAAGGCTCCAAAATCGATTTCGAACAACGTATTCAACCCTCTGTAATAGCAAATAATCTAAAAATTACACCATGTATAAGGCTCTATTACAGTGTTAAATAATGAAACTAATACATTAACTTATTTTCAAGGTCTTACTTAGCGGTTAGAATGGCTATAATTTTTCAGTTTATAATAGTGACGACGGGATAGCCACTTTTAACTAATACACCGTTTAATTCTTAGACTAAATTTCTCATTGTTCAACGTTCTGCGCCACCTATCTGCTAGTAGACAATGTGCTCGTGACGGAACCACGGACTGAGGTTTCATTACAGGCGCGGCCTTGTCTCGACTGATTTATTTTCGAAAATATATAAAGCTTATATATAATAAGTATGTTTACCGGATCTTATTTCAAGTGCATTTATAGCAGCTTGCTAGAGGGCGCGGTTGTGTAATGCCAAGTCATGACAGATTACTGGCCTCTGAGTATTCTTGAAATAAGCGTTTACAACTTTAAACTACTAGTTCTGCTGAATCACACACAGATTGTGGGTGTTTGTCATTTCCCGGCATAAGATGAAGTTTGTAGGGGCGCTACAAGTTGAGCTTATTTACCATAATGAGTTAATAAATGTGTTTTTTTTTGTTATATATTTTTTTTCATGAGGAACGGGACGTATAAGAATACTAGTCTAAACACTAAACTATATTTTGTTGTTACTATTGGACACTTCTACAAACAACATTCAAGTATAATTAAAACAATGATAATAATTATAATATCACAAAAAGGCTTAGGCGTCATGTATAATCACATGTAAAAAATGGCATTTATGGCCAGTACTTGATTTGTTAATAGCTAGCTAACTTCAAAGTGTTACAACGCTAAAATCAGGGGCTCGATTCTCCTCGGTGGACACAGAAGATAGCAAGATGTGGCTTTCCTATAAGAAAAGAGACGGTCTAACAAACTTCAAAGTAGCCCTCCAGTGGCACAGCGTTATATCTGCGGACGTACAACGCTATAAACCGGGTTTCGATACCCGTGGTGGGCAGAGCACAGATACTTCATTGAGCAGCTTTATGCTTAATTCAAACAAACAAACACTTCAAAGTAAATAAAAAAAATTAAGATATTTTAGCCACCGTTCTTCAACTTCTTTTAATAAATTGTAATTTGCTTATCGATAAACACGCGCTTAGCTTAGCTAATCTGCTCATTCTGTTTGTTGCTTTGGAAAGCTCTATTTCTCTAAACAGATCACACTATATAGATCGCCTAACAAACAAAATTAATCGTATCAATACGTGTACGTGTGCGTGTGTGATTGTAGCGATTTGAGTGAAATTTTAATCGCAGATATAGATTAAATCTATGATGTTTCGTTCCGTCACCGAACATGCTCTCCTCTCCGGAGGTGTTAACGTGGATGATTTAGACCTAGACGATAAAAAAAGTATTAATTTCCCATTTTGACATCAGTTCAAAATTACACTGACAGAAACATAGGGAGTCGCAGTGCTAACTTAAAAAGAAAGTCATAGTGCTAACATAGATAGTGACAGTGTTAATATGAATATACATAATGCTAACATAAATAGTTACAGTGCAAACATGGTACAAACAAAATTTCAAATACGATTTTTAAACTTAGACCCAAAAAAAAATTAATAACAAAATCAAAGTTTTAATTTTCAGTTTTGTCTATGAACCGGTAAATCAGTGGAAAAAATAATTATTATCCAACATGATAACATTCAATCACTAAACATTAAAAAAAAAATCTAAAATCTTTAAGAAAACAAAGCGGATAATATATTGCTGTCATTAAAAATAATCGTGTTTTAAAAGAACATGATCCTCGAACGAGAGTTAACTCGAAAAACCGCTTATTTCGGCCAGGCGCCAGCAGCTAAGTGAACGGAGATCCGTGTTCCGTTACCAAGGTCAGCGAAGAGACCATTTTCCCACACTTGGCAAGGTGGGTGGTACAGTCTGAGTGTGGTACATTACTTCGTGTATTTTCATTATACCAGAATAACTAACCGTAGCATTAAGAAGTCCCAAGCATAGCAACAATATGAAGGAGAATCGGTACAGTGATCAGGCTAAACGCTTATAATTTTTTTGCCGGAGGGGTCTAACAAAGAATAAGGTTCTTTTCAATGTTGCCTGCTCTTTCTCACACACCATAGCGGACTAGAAGGGTCAAAGGTCGCGTTCTTAATACCAAGTTCTCAGGACTTTTATGTTTCGCTATTGTCCACATTATTAGAGGTAAGCTAACCGGATGGGGGAAAGAAAGAGGGGGAGAGACAGATTTGCTTATGTTCTCAGCCACAAGAGGGTGTAATCGTCACATGCAGTGGCGTAACTACGAAAGATTCCTCCTACATTTATTCCCCTTATCGGCAATTCTTAAGTTTGTCAGACTCTTCAGGTCCCCTTTTGGCTCGCCCCCCTCCTCCCGAAATTGCGGGGTGGGGGCATGCTTACGCCATTTGTCACGTGACTTTCGTTCGGTGTTTACCTTTGGGATCAGCTACTTCTCTTTCATCTGTTTCTCACACTCCATAGTTAAGTAAATTGTTTATATAACACATTTATCAAAGTAATTTTTATCAATAAAATTAGGCCTTCCTTTAAGAAAGATCAGCTAAGTTTTAGGTTTGGAAAAGCTGAGATTCTCTTCATATCACTCAATGTATCCCGAGACTCTTCACATCACTCAATATATCCTAAAACTTTCTTCACATCACTCAATGTATCTTGAAACACTCTTCACATCACTCATTGTATCTTGAAACACTCTTCATATCACTCAAAGTATCCTGAAGCTGTCTTCATATCACTCAATATATATCCTGAAACACTCTTCATATCACTCAATGTATCCTGAAACACTCTTCATATCACTCAATGTATCCTGAAACACTTCATATCACTCAAAGTATCCTGAAGCTCTCTTCATATCACTGAATGTATCCAACGTGTTTAAGGCTTAAAATGAAACACAGATTCTTAAGTTCCCTCCATGATTAATAATAATACTTGCATGATGTTTGATACCTTAACTTTTATGCACACATTAAGTTAATTTGATTGTAAATTATCATATTGAAGAACGACTTATTTTGGAAGGTCAATATGTTAGACTATATACTAAACGCCATACCTGAAAACTACCAAAGCAGCTACCACCAGGTAGGGTGACGTAGCACACATACGGAGGACTGGATGAAGGGACAGATTCATAGATGACAAGGGCTCCGTTTTTCAGGTCAGCTCCTCTAGCTAGTTTCATCTGCCAGAACTCCTGTAGCGCTTCAACTACGTTCACTAGCGGGGGTGAAAAAACACTTTCTGAATAACAGAAGAGGGTGGAGCACTTTGCAGTCATAAAACCGTGAAAGTATTAACCCAATTTACCAGAAGATCGTTTTATTGTATTGACATAATTTTATAAAGGTGTTTATTTTTGTTCTAAATAGAAAACCAAACATAGAAATAAAAGCACAGTTGAGAGAGAACGTTTGTATTGTTGAAGCTTTTGAAACTTACATAAGAAATAAATCATTCAAATAGAGGTAATAAATTAGTGATGCGTTTATGAGCTTAGATGTACGTTTTTTAAAGCACCTTATAAAGCAAAAGTAAATGTTTTCACGAGTTTATATTGTGCAGTGAGTGCACATTTTATTGTTACAATTTGTCTTCCTGAAAAGTGTGACACATACGACACAAAAGTATGACATGTAAATCAGATTGGGCAAACTTCACCATTACTGAGGATGTGCGCGGCTGGAATAATTAAGTGCGCGGCATTTGATTGGTTGTTGGGCGGCCGCACAGCATAGATGGAACGCTGTTCAGGAGTAAAAGCTGAAGTTTAGTCAAGACTTATATAATTACACAATCATTTGCATTCCTTTAGCGCCATCTAGACTTAAAACACCCAGAGTTTATAAAACATATGTCCAGTACTTTATTTTTTCTAAACCTGGACCAACTTCTTTGTTCAACACAGTATCTTTGTTTGTTTGTTTTTTCAATTTCTATTGTTTCTCTAATATTTAATTCACACTTCAACTCTACCTTATTTGTCAATTTAACGTTACTCCAGTCTATAACATGAAGATGTTCCTGCCACATGTTCTGCTAAAGCCGACTCGTTTACTTTGTATTTATCTACCGCATTGTTTTGTTCCTTGATTCTAAATTTGAAATTTGGCATGTTTGGCGAATGTAAGTTTGACCACAGACAAACGGAATTTTGTATCGCCTACATTTATCAGCTTCTTCTACTCTATATTTTATACTTGCGAGAAAGTTATGCAGTTTACAACGCGGAGAGAATGTTACATAACATGCTATAAATATTTAATTATGTTGCCTGTTCTTGTTGATAAACTTAGAACATGTGGCAGAAAAATCCTCATGTTGTCAACTTTAACCTTTCCCTTTAACTTTGTACATGATGACATTTTTAATTTATTATGTTTTTATACAATCTATCAACAATTTCGGGATTATATTTTTAGGCTCCAGGGCCGTAGGAAGCGGTAAGGTCAGTCAAATCATGGCCTGAACACTTTTTCATGGCATGTATTAAAACTTGCTTCTTTTAATTCAGCACGTTACGTTGTGTGTATGGAGTATTTGTAGCTAAAATGACTCAAGGTTTAATCTCATAACACGAAATTTTATATATTTTCTGGGGGGGGGGGCATGCCCCAAGACTCCCATCGAAATAGCATGCTTTGCATACATCGTTTGTCATATTGTTTAACTGTGGCAATGATCTGATCACTCAAATATTACTTCGTACGGCAATGCTAGGTATATGTTTCAATAATATTAACTCTGAACTCATATCACAATTGCGAGTGCAGGTTTTTAAAGCCCTAAATACAAATGTGAAAAAAAGGCGGATAGTTTTGGGGTCAATGGGTGACACGATCTATTGTGTGGTGGACAGCCACGGAAAACGGTTTTCTATAAACAGACGTTGCGAGACGCCTAATATCCCGTTTAACGGTCCTGGGAATTTAACTAACCCTATTTTTCCATCTCCAACGTAAATCTAATAGTAGGACTGATCGGATTGGGATGTCTTTCAAACAGCATTTATGTCTCAATGTTACTCCGCCACACCAGAAACGTGTCATCTACATAACTTAACCACACCAAAGGTTTCACTTCAGAAGCGCCATTTGTTCAAGGTTTGTCAAAAAGAATAGGTAACATAATAAAAAAAATATATATATACAATGTAGTGTAATATTTTCTCCGCGTTTTAAACTAAATTATTTTCTCACGTACGTATGGAGCAAGCAGGCAGAAGTAATCAGGCCCCAAAGTCACTCCTCGCGTACATATGGAGCAAGCAGGCAGAAGTAATCAGGCCCCAAAGTCACTCCTCGCGTACATGTGGAGCAAGCAGACAGAAGTAGTCAGACCCCAAAGTCACACCTCATGTACATATGGAGCAAATAGGCAGAAGTATTCAGACCTCAAAGTCACATCTCACGTACACATGGAGCAAGCAGGCAGAAGTAATCAGACCCCAAAGTCACACCTCACGTACATGTGGAGCAAGCGGACAGAAGAAATCAGACCCTAAAGTCACATCTCACGTACACATGGAGCAAGCAGGCAGAAGTAATCAGACCCTAAAGTCACACCTCACGTACATGTGGAGCAAGCAGACAGAAGTAATCAGACCTCAAAGCCACACCTCACGTAAATATGGAGCAAATAGGCAGAAGTAATCAGACCCCAAAGTCACACCTCACGTACATGTGGAGCAAGCGGACAGAAGTAATCAGACCTCAAAGTCACACCTCACGTACATATGGAGCAAGTAGGCAGATGTAACAGATAAAACTGAACTATAAACCTACTTGAATGTTACCAGGAACGTAACGAGGGGATGTGAGGAAAATGTCGTCCCCCCTAAAACAAATCCAATTTTCTATAAATTTTATAGGCAAAACTTTATGAGTCTTTTTTTTAGGGGGGGGGATAATAAATATTTTGTTGCAACGCATTTTTAGGCAAACGATGAAAGTGCCAAAAATAATTCTGGAAATATCCGGCAAAAGATGACAAAAGTCCTAATTGGATCATGTGAAGCACATTAGTCTGCCGACGGTTCTGATAGTTTTTAGTCCAGTATCATCGTTTTCTACATATATTTTCCTTTTAAGAATATCCGGAAATGCCGATTAACTTTTTATTCAGAACGCGCTAGTTTTTTATGGGTAAAATTCAGTCATACACCCCACCCCCTTCCCATATATAGGGACCTCGGTTTGGTACTTAAGGGTTGCTATAGAAAACAGTTAAAATAGTTGGAAAAAAAGCTTAGAAAGAAGGAGTCTACGTGACCAATGAAAAAGAATAGTATCTTATGATCACAGAAGATATAGACCAGATATAAACGCCATCTACTGTTTCATTTTATGACATTTTTTTTCACGAATGGTGATATTTCTATTAAATTATTTATTTGTATTTAATTTTTATCGTATTACCCACCATGCTTGCATCAAAATAACCTAACACTAAATTTGGGGACTGCTAAACTGTTATGATAGGTTTGATAAATTCTTTTCACATTACACTCGGGGACAACTAAACTGTTATTATTGGTTTAATAAATTCCTTTCACATTACACTTGGGGACTGCTAAACTGTTATGATAGGTTTGATAAATTCCTTTCAGACTACAGTCGGGGACTGCTAAACTGTTATGATAGGTTTGATAAATTCCTTTCACACTACAGTTGGGACTGTTTTTTTCCTTCGTAGTGCAAGAATAATCACACACACTTGTTAAAGAATATCTACAAACCATAATAGAACTGAAATACAGAAAAAATTAAAAATTCGATACGACATTCATCTCCCATAGACCAACTATATTGGTCTGCTAGGTCTATGATTCTCAGAAAAACGGGTACAACCAGTTCTATGTCTCCATGCACATTTATAAGATGGTTGTGAATCGCGTGTAAAACTTATAGATCACATATAAAATATTTAAAAAAATCATAATGTATCATCACCTGTACGTGCAATTCTCGTATTTTATTTTGTGTATTTTTTCCCTCTTCCTTAAACATGTGCAGTAAAAATTCATGCCATAGTCTAGATAAAAGCAAATGTCGTCCAATCAAATGAAAACCCACCAATCCAACTGGTAAATCCAGTACAGTAGACCTGTAACTACCGCCTTTATAAACAGCGAACGTTAACCTGCCCAGTTTAATTTAAACACCTAAATGTCTTTAATTGGAAGAATGCCAAACAGGAACAGTTCGTCTATTTATTAACGAAATAAAATTTTGAACGAAATATTAGTAAAAAGACTAAGAGATTAGTTGCGACACTATCGTGTGTCCTATTCAGTCCTACAGAATCTTGATATCAACTTAAAATATCGGTATTTGGAAATTATTTGACGATAATTACTAAAAATGACATAATTTAAATAACGTGCTATAGATAATTCAATATTATATTACATTAATATTTTGCTATACACAGTTTTGTAGCAAAATATTAATGTCTGTCCTTTGCCTAAACCACACTTACAGCTGAAATACGAATCTCCAAGACGCGACGAACAACAGGATTAGGCTTCGCATGACTGATGTCATACAATGAATGCTTTCCACTGAATGACGATGGACTACTGATGAGACCTTGCATGACTACTATTAAATAAAATGTTTTCTAGACTATTGTGGTTGTTATGTTTAACATTAAAACCAGTAGAAACATATACAGTAAATATTCACTTGGTAGCTAGTTCTATTCTTAATATATAACCTTCCACGTTTACTTGTTTTTTGTTTTAAAAGAGACACCGATTATTAATTGGTTGATATATTTGTTACGAACTCTCAAGCCCCGTAGGCGGCAATTTCAAATTAATACGATACCTTGGAAAGGTCTCAATTAATATATTTTAGAACAATTTAATTAACAGAAGTCAACATAGGCAGCTGGTAAATCAATTGTGCTAAATTAATTCTAGATTTGAGGACTAGGTCTTAGATAACGACTATATTCTTATTGAAAATGTTCTTAAGGACTCGGAGGCAATCGGCTCATCGCTCGGGATTTTCCGTCGTACCTAGTAAAAACACTCTCAGACGTAATTAAAACCCTTGTTTGAATTACTTTCGATCACGTGACTCAAATGTAAAATTCAAAGATGAGGTGACTAACAATAACATACTGCTCGTGTGGCTGTTGTAACTACAATACCACAGTTAAAGTTATTATAAGCAATAGTACTTGTGAATCAAAACAAGTACACAGTCAATATT